ATGCTTTTGAGAAGTCGAAAAATATGGCATCCGATATGAGTCCTTCGTTCTTGGATTAGGTTAAGCTGTCCATAAACACGAGCATGTTTGTCACGCAAGAACGGTTTGGGAGAAATCCGTGTTGAGTTGGAGAGATCAGATTGCTGGAAGTAAGGTGATCTAGGATGGCTCGCTTCAGAATGCGTTCCATCACCTTGCACGGCACGCTAGTGAGGCTTATAGGCCTATAGCTGCCAGGCGATAGTCGGTCACCAGTTTTGTATATTGGCGTGACAATCGCTTCCTTCCAAGCAGGGGGAAGGCGGCCTTCGTCAAGCGACTGACGAAACACCAAGTGTAAATGGTTTGCCAGTGTGGAGGACGTTTCTTTCAGGATCTCGGATGGACATGGCTTGTTTCTGCGGCGTCTATTCGTTCCGATGCTTCCGTCCAACTAAGGATGCACGCGAAAAAAGCTTTGGCACCACGTTTTAGATTCTCCGACAGGGCAGGTACTCACATAAATAACGGCCTAAAAATGATTTGAACCGGTCCCTAGTTTCAGCGTGAACAACCCTTTGAAAGAAGTTATTCCACGTTCTTAATACCCGAAATTTAAAGAATCTTTGTTCAATTAGTGTGTACGGTCTTGGACTACTAATCTCGTTACCATGTCCTCCGCGAGTGTTATATGAATCAATGGTGCAAACCTTGTTGTCCAAACACCGTTCAAACAATGCATAAGCAAGAAATAGGCCACCGTATAAGCCATAGTAGTCTAGGGGACAGTGTAATATGCACGCTATGGAAACACCAGAGGACAGTGATTCACCGAAGGTAGGTGTTCACGAAAATTTATGTGGATGGAAAACAGAAACAAAGCTCATGAGCTAAAGCCCAGTAAGCAAGGTTGTACATCACCAATACGTACATATAAATCAATCAAACTGACAGACACTCTATACTACACAGAGTTCAAGCAATTTGTGATACACAATGTAATGAACAACGGATTTGGGGTAAGGAGCCATCTACGGCCCGATGATTCAGCTCATTTTGGGTTACCTTCTTCATGCGTTCTCAGGAGACGAACCATCTCTCGCATACCAAATTCGGCATGATTGATGCTGTGGAGGGCGCCTGAAATTCGAAGCGGGTTATACGGGGGAAGAAAGAATAAAGTCCATTTTGCCGATTTTTGGCAATGGGTAGAGAACCCGTTCCAAGAGGACCGGATACCTAGATGCCTCCTTTTATCCACCCTCATAATGTTTTCTGAGCCATCATTGTCATATATGGAAAAGGTGTCCGGTCGTTATCCCTCCTACGACGTATGGATCCGCATTTTGTTTTCCATAGGAAAGAGCCAGTCCAGTTAAACAGGGGCGTCCATTTGAAGGAAGCTGGATTTAGAACTCTAATATTTCAGGTCGTCCGCAGAAAGTAGAAGTAGATTTGGAAGCGCGTCTGCGGGGTGGTAGGTCTAGATCAGAAAGAAGGATGGTCGTGAAACTGAGTCGTGGGGAGCTCTGATAAGGAAGAGCCAAAATACAACGCACAATTTCTCTTTGAATTCTGTAAAACCTGGATTTATTGATCAGCAGATGTGTGGCTAGATCAAATACTTTTGAGAGGTCGAAAAATATGTCGTTCATCAAAGACCTTTTATACTGGACTTGGGTTGAACTGCGCACGTTGAGCTGATGACTTGCTGTTGGTAGTAAGATGACTTTAAATAAGCCCTTATGGCGCGTGATCCACCAGACATCCTTGGATGACGCTTCTGGCTCAAATTGCAACAAAAACCGTGGTGCTTGCGAAATACGGGGCAAACTAAATCATGCACTGGAATTTTACTGTACTTTATGGCCATCTGATCGTTGGTTAGTGATTTTGTCTAGGTGGAGCTCACGCAGGACCAGGAAGTCAACGAACAAATAAGAAATACAGCCATGCTGCGGAGACAACACGTTTCCGACGTTCGCAATTTCACAAAAGGACTCTCACAAATGACAGGCTCTCCATCTGCCTTGCTCCACATCCCGCATTGCAATGATTTTTTATACGTATTGCAACTCAACACTGTCAACCATAGTAAAATAACACTTGTTTGTGCATAACCCTCTGAATTCTATTATGGCTGCCATAATCTCTGCACTCGTAGTACTATGGCAATGGGGCAACAGGTGGAGGCTCTGAGATTTACTCTGCCTATCAAACCCTGCGAGCAGCGTTAATTCGAATCACCACAAACCAAACAAAACACCAAATCAAAGGAAAACAAGTAGAACTAGGGTATGAAGATATTCTAATTTAATTAAAAGTTGATTAAACCGGAATCGGCCAATCTCATCAAGGTTTACCGATTCCTAATTCTAAGCGAGCTAAATTCGACAGCGGCCTTACTGAGAAAGACACGCAAGTCAACAAAACAGGATCGAGAATATAATATTTAAGTTGAATATCGACCGATAAGAATGAAGACAAGAAATAACAATAAAGCGGAGGCACACGGTCAACCGAACAAACAACAGGAAGTTAAGACCACGAAGCGATACAATCCTCGAATGGCCCAGGCAAAAAGAAAAGTGATGGGAAATCAGACACCAAATATACATTAGTAAAACAAACAAATCACGGTCAGGTCAATCATATTGCGAGCTAATCAAGCTATATATAAAGGCTGCTTCCGTTAAAGAGTTTAGGCACAAGACGAAGAGAGGGGCAGTCCATCCGAAAGCGCAGTGAATCTGTCCTCGAAAGAAACGTCTGTAAATGAGAAGTTAGCCTGGAAAACGGATTGAGAGTCGCTTCAACAAGGAACAAGCATCAGTTCAATAATTCCCGAGAGCTGTCGACAAATCATTTGCTGCCCCCGTCAATCGGCTTCTATCGCCCTCTAAATACGTATAATCTGATACCCGCAATCTCCCTACAGGGTCCTTAGCTGCCCGGATCTTACAACTATATTAACTACAATACGGCCCAGCAGCCCAGCCAGATTGTAGAACCGTGGCGCTTGCTAAAATTTCAGATACGGAATGGCGGATGTCTAACTTGAGGCACCCTGTTCTGGACGGTTTACCACATGTTCTGGGCAGTAGATGAAAATAGAAGAGAATGGGTACACGGACCCGATGGCAGCATAAAACAGTAAGAGTAATTGCGGGATGTTTCGATTGACAGTACATTTTAGGTAGTGCATTTTGTGAACGAGGTGAGGAAACGACTGCCACAGTTGAACGGGCGAGACGCCACCAAGTGGTTCGCATGTAGAAACCTTCGTGTGGTTGGGGACTGGCCTCCATCGAATGTCCGAAATGATTACCGGGAGAGTGGAACCATGATGAATGTGCACTGTGAGTAAGTTGGCGGCAGACTGAGACTCAGTATGTGCGGT